GGAAAGAGCCTCCTACCACTTGGTATCGGGAATTATTGGAACTCATGCCAAATTAACATTCAATTTAACATTTATATCAGTTGTTGAAATAAATTTATCAAATCGTGGGAGGCCCTTTTCCTTCGCCACCTTTTTCCCCTAGTGGAATGCGAGTTTCCTCGTAAGGGTACAAGGCAGGGGGTTAATTGTCACTTTTTCTTGCTCGATCTTCGGTCCAAGTAACAACACGATTCGTGGCCTTTCCTTTTTTTTTTTTTAACGTTTTCCTCCTCCATGTCGGCAGACTATGACTGCCAAAGATCGGATCTCGTACGGGGTTCCTCGTGGTCACATGATAAAACGATTATTTATGAGGTTGCGTTTCGTATAAGTCGGGTAGTTATGATAATGTATGTAACTTCAGCATCTATTTACCGGGGCGGCGTTTGTGCACGTGTTCGTACCGTTTTCGGTTTTATCTCTCGGTTTTTTTGTCACGAGCTTCGGCAGTTTTGCAACGGGAAAAAGATTTATCTTTTGTAACGGAAGGAGGCGAGAGTTTTAAAATTCTCGGCGCGGCAGAAATGCGACGCCATCGGTGTGCCATCGCGCTGCGCCTCATCAGCTTTACTTTCTGTGCGATCGCTCCGCCGCGACACGTAGAAATCCTGCTTGATATTTACGTCGATTTACAGAACACAATTGCAACGGGCGCAGCGACTTGCTTAATCGCTTGTATTCTGATCCTAGCGAATTATGGAGAATCGTCGTTATGCTCTACGTAAATGTTTGTTAACACATTACCCACTGGCTGCTATTTAACCCTTTGGAAGTTTTTTCGCTATAGAGAAGAAGCAACTCGAAGCGTATTTGCGTCGAACAGGACAGACGCAATTTAAAACTGATATAGAAATAAATCATATATATGTATTAACAAATAAAACTGCTTTATTTAAATGTTTCATTAATCTTGAACTCTAGTCCCATACTTTTGGTTGATAGTGTACATTCAAGAAAAATAACGTAAAAATTTCTTGTTTAACCCTGATCGAAAGGTAAATTAATAGGTTTCTTACCTATAATCATTGAAATTGAAGTCTGTTAGGTATCTGAGATAAATCGAAAGAAAATAGTTCAGTTTACCTGAGAAAGAGGAATGGTTAGGATTTTTAACAATGAGGGGAAATTACAAAATAAATGCTACAGCTAATCTTAGTTTCGACAAGCAACATTTTCATTATTACTTCTTAATGTACTATGAATTATGTGCGTTTAGAAAGTACACGAATGTCTGAGATACAGTAAAATAAAACTGTCAACGAAAATTCAATGAACCCTCAAACTTATTTTTAGCTAAATAAGATAAAAATAATGTCATTTTGCATAAAGATTCTATATAAAAACTTTCAAAAAATTGTTCTTTTTCCCACACATTGTACTCAGTAATACACTGACAAACATTGAACCTAGTAGTTAGCATTATTTTACCAAAAAAAAAAGAAATTCCTAAAAAGTAATATATTAATCCGAGCAAAAAGTTCAAAAAGAGAAAATCAATTAAACGCTATGTTTGTTCTCCAGGCTGGACGAGCGAGCCGCAGCCCCAGAGGAATCGTACCTTCAGTTGCCGCTTCTTGGTGAAGCCTCCCGATGATACAGAAGAGACTATGGAAGAGAAGCAGCAACGAGTATCGAAATACGAGTCTATGCAAATCTGTTCAGCTCTTTTGCCAAGTAATAGCGATCGCCTGGAGAGTGGTGACGTGTCCTCCGAATCCTCGGACATTGGTTCGTGCGTGATGTGCGTGGCTCGCAGGATACCCCCGAACGAGAAGCCCATCGGGCAGTTCACTGTCAAGTTGGACACCACGGGGAAGATTGTCGCGGTTGATAACAGCTGGCTGTTGCCTCCTTACTTCGACTATTTAGACAAGGTGAGAGTCCATATTTAGGACTGCTTCTTGTATACAGGGTGTCTCAAAATAGCTTCGACTCCTGGAAATGAGGGGTTCCTGGGATGATTTGAAATAACTTTTTCCTTAGCAAAAATGTTATCCGAGGCTTTGTTAACGAGATATTAACGAAAAACCCCGACCAATCAGAGCGCGAGTCTGCCGGCCGAGTTCCCGCGGTAGCGTTGGTTACCAATTGCAGTGCGTAGCCAACGCTACTACGGAAGCTCGGCCAGCAGACTTCAGCTCTGATTGGACGAGGTTTTGTGTTAATATTTCATTAACAACGCCTCGGATAACATTTCTGCTAAGGAAAAAGTTATTTCAAATCATCCCAGGAACCCTTCAGTTTCGGGAGTTGAAGCTATTTCGGGACACTCTGTATATTTTATCAGAACCTTCCTGCGTTTCACCATAAACGCCGATCAAAATCCTACATATCTGTACCTGAATCCTTAGAACAAACGGTGTCTGTCCCAGAAGTTTCCCAGTTTTCCGTAAAATGATGATAATGCTCTTTATCATTGAATATTAGGAATAGGTTTTTTTTAAAGTGATATACTGTGTTCACAGTGACTATAGAAACTCTGGGAATGGCTTTAATCATTCTTCAACATGATGGAAAAGACGACGGTCGAAACCTTTGATTTCATAGTTTACACAGCATTTTGGTCTCTGGTGTGATTATTCGCCGTATGCAGTTTAATTCAGCTACTTCGAAGTAATTCCTTTTACCCAAATTGGTAACGACGTCAAAGAAACGATAATCCAGAATCGTTTTGACATTTAGAAGTCATTAGATAGTCTTTGACCTTCTCCGCCATTTCGAAAAAGAATTACCAGAGTTGTTTTTCCGTGTTTGTATAATTGATTGGGTCTCTAGAAGGAGAGCGTATGTTACATTTAATAAATTGTCCAGGAAAACGTAAAAACAATCAATTGCTCACTGTAGCAATTAAGGAAGCAGCTGGTGTAACATATTTCCTTCTCTCATTTGGAAAAAGAAATAATAATCCAATAATGAGAAAGTAATTTATTAACTGCAACTATAAAATTGGGTATAAAAATCATTGTGTTTAATGATTTGTAATATACGCCCATCTTCTAGACACCCATTCAATTATCATGAACAATACAATAAATCCTCGATGAGTGTTCGAAGGCTCTTCGGCGCTGACAATGAGAGGTCCCCAGAATTTTTAATGAGGTTCATCACAGTGACAGGGTTTGGAATTCTGAAGCCAACGATTTTTATTTCAGCCGCATATGGTCAATTAGTTTAGGAAATATTTAATGTTCATTGCCGAGGAGACGTCAAACACTCATCGACGATTTACTGTATATTACTTAAAAAGGAAACTGCTTTCAAAGGAATTCCCAAACTTTTACTCATTTTTAGACGCCTTACGGTGGTGTAGCCCCTTAAAAAAGGAAATCCTTGGGTGGATTAAGCATCGGGGTGTCAAATAGAAATTCTGTTTGAATAGTTACGTTCAATTATATTATACTTTGTTGCAGAAACTGATTGGCACAACAATAAAAGACTTGTGCCACCCTCATGATCTCAGTAAGCTAACTGCACATTTGAACGATACGCTTCAAGTTGGTCAGAGTACCAGCGATGTGTACCGGCTACGCGTTAGTCCTGATAAGTTCCTTAACATTAAAACAAAGTCAAAGTTTTTCAAAGCAAATGTGATGAATACACACGGTACTGACTTCATTATGGCCACCAGTTCCATCATTGGGTAAGTTGAACGGTTTTTACCATTTTTGTTCTTCTACTCGATGTTTCTAGGGATAAGACACATTGCTAGTTCTTAGATTCGTTCAACTCCGGATTCAGCGTGATTTCTATCAATTAAAAAATTATCTTTTTCTCGCCATAAAATGTTCCTGAACATTTCGTGTATTGAACAGTAACGAAACCATGGTTGAACGTTTTTAATACATTGATTACCAAAGTATTGAATATTAAAATACAGTTTTTGTTTGTACATTCACTCAGAATTATTGATGATTCTGATAGTTCTCGTGTTGCGATGGTATTCAATGTATCGATGTTAGAAATAATTTGTATACGTAAATTGTTAATACTAGAATTATGAATATACTTTAGGGACCGAATGGCAGAGTCTCGATTATGATGGCAGTGTAATTAAATCACCGGGATGCGTCGACAGGCGATTTAACGTTAACGGTAATTGTAAGATGAATCCACTTTTCAGTGGTTAATCGTCGATTTAATGCACGCCTTAATAATCGACGGTCTGCCGGGTGATTAAAGTTAATGTATCCTCCGTATCGCTTGATTACTCTTCTATTGGAACACATAGGCAAGGGTGACTATATCTACACGACATTCCACTTACGAATTCCCCCGCTGCGCCTAGGTTTACCGCTAATTTATATTCTGTTCTCATAATTTCTGCGCGTTTTCTCTTTATCGCTGCTGCTTAAAGAAACTTTCTCGAGCTAATCGGAAAAACTGCGGAAAAACGAAATGAAAAACAAAACAAAAATAGGAGAATAGGCAACGGGAAGGTTCTAAAAAATATGGCGAATTAATACGGAAAATTGGAAACGGATTTGAAAACGGTTTCGATTTTCGACATTTCCTGGTGGACGATTCGTTGAAACCGTTTTTTAGCACGTTGCATGACGCGGGTTTCTTTTCTCGGTGTTGGAGATCTGGCCACTCTTGAAATTGAAACGATCTTTACCGATGTCGTCGCGATCACGAGTCGTTTATGCTTTCTAACTGCTTCGGCTGCTAACCAATTATTGTGTATCACACGCTGGTTTCGATCACCATACACACTATTTTTTCACAATGTTTCGTTAACAGCTCCTACGCATCAACGTACTGATATCGACGTGGAAATGGTAAAGGTTGAAAAATGTTCCTATCATTTATTGACACTGGAACTACCGAAAATGAACGTGTCTCTGTTTCTATCATATTAGTAGAAGGGATAGCTTGTTGGAAACATGCAAATCGATAAATTAAAGAATTTTTTCACTTATACAGAGTGTCCTACGATAGGTGCCATTTGATATAACCATTTGATTTTAAGCTTTTGAGCAGTAGGACACGTATCAGAAATGTATTTTGCAAATTACGTTACGCACATTATAATAAGTAGACTCAAACAGTGATATGAAATATCAAAAAATAAACCATGTAATAATACAATTGGCTGTCGATCAACCTACAATATCATGGACTTGACCCTCGCCATTTCCAACGTTTCCACATTAAGAAAACAAGGATTATACCATAAACAGGTGATCGCGAAACATGACTCTAAGAAGCAAATTCGACGAATCGAATTATTTAAATTTTACGTTGGCAATAAGGATTCATCAAGAATTTTCTTAAGAATCAAGAAATAACTTATATCATCCCCTCAAAGATATCGGTTTCACACTCGGATACGTTGTTTCGGGTCCACTGAATCGTTTTGTGCTCACCTGGTGGACGGTATTCACGGCATCGGGTCGCATAGAACACGTTCAAGCAGTTAGTACTCGGCGAGAGTAAGATTTATCGGCCCGTAGTCTTCCTCCCGTTTATGTAATTTACATCAGGGGATATCAAGGTAGCTCGATTGACGCTCAAGGTTCCCCCATTTCCGTGAACAGTGCGCGGAATATCAGGAACGTTAACTTCTACCTGCTTATTCTTTCTCCCCATCGACCATTCAATGTTTCGCGTCAGCTTAACTGCTTGATCGAATTGCTCACGATTTTTTGTCTGGAAGCACAGATGAGGTATTGGACTAGACATTTCATCCAATGTATTTTTGCGGCCCACTTTTCTGGGGTTACTTACCCCATTTCAATTTTAGTGTCACTACCCACTGCAGATTCACCGTTCCCAAAACGTACAAGTCGCTACAATTATAAGCTTTTTAAGATGTCGGTACTACAGTTTAGGTGGGCCACCAACTCTCATAAGATGAAATGTCCACTCCTATACCTGGTCTGTGCTGGAAGTTGCTGGTGGTAATCACACGTGGTATAAAGAGAGGCATGTATAAGGTGCCAAGAACCACGCATAACCCAGGAGTAGACGCGCATTGGTCTTTTGAATGTCTTAAAGTATAATCCAAAGCCTGTTGCTACGTTTCGTGAAGCTATTCCTATTTAAGGCATTAAGAAATTTTAAAAGAAAACGTTGATCTTTTCGATCATAGCGCGCCTACTCTCGAGTTAAAAGGTGAGGGACTGTTCACCTGGATTGGGGTGGCCATGCACCGCGATACGTCACAATTAGAAGCACAGCAATACCCTCAAACTTGTACGTGAAACTGGACCAACGACATACATGTTTGGGGGTTGAACACCGCAGTTGTTTATCGATCGATATTCGGTATATCGATCCGGAACGACAAGATTGGGGTAGCGAAATGGGACACACCGAGAAAGCAGACGCGAGAACAAGTTCAGAATTGGAAATTGAATTTTGTTTTTAGACTGTTTATATTATTGTTTTTCTTTCCTGCAGTAAATATTTTCGTTGGAAAAATGAGATTAAACATGACAGGATTTGAAATATTAATCCTGCTACGGTCTTCAGCTCAGTTGTACATCGAAATAATGACAAGAACGGAAAAATACACGAATCATTAACAATTTGCTTTCACATTTCGTAAACCTGAGAATATTTCTGAAGAGAGGAGGTTGAGATTAAGAATGATGTAACAGCGTTAAGGAATGGAAATCGTGATTGGGTCGAAATGGAACCGAAGACTGTAACAGGGTTAATCTTACCGAATGTGAGATTTTGTTTGTAGAGATAGGCAGTAATTTGAATTATGTCAATTACAAAGTAGAAAGCTGTCTTTGCTTTTTTAGATAACGTAGTATTTTGTGCTGGGGAGGTATCAGTGAGGTTCAGGAAAGGGGTGAAAATTGTATGTGTGTCGTAAATATATTGTAGAAAAATGTTTTCCTGGAAACCAATATTCTGTACTTTTGTCTACTTACTTGCACTGACTGTGAGAAGAATTGTATTTTGTCTCTACGAACGGATAATTCTATAATATTTCTATTATTATAATTATGAATTAAGCTACTGTAGAAGATTTAAGACATTGAAATTGGATGACCATACTCACAAGGAGAGATTTTCTACAAATTTGGGTGTTTGAAAAATCCATTTTTTTAACGATATAAACATTAGAATATTAACCAATAATTAACGCTATAGTCAGCTTCTACCAAATAGTTTTACTATATTTGTTTTAAGAAAACTTCTTATTGATTTATACAAGACTAGTATATTTAATATTTTTATTAACCCGATTGAATACTTATGTATTTTACTGCAGGTTTAACATGTTTGGTCTCATTTTTCCCAGCGAAAGTTTTCGTTTTCGATAAGAATGAAACGGAAAATCTAAAAATTTCATTTGTTCTGTATGGACGATATTTTCTTACTCGTGGTGGTTAGGTCGAGGAGTTTTCAGAATCTGGGTGGCTATCGGTGTACAAGTCAAGGAGTATCCAACGCGTACAAGATTTGGGGTATTACTGTATATATGATGGAAAGGACATAGTGTGGTCGTCAAATCGGTTGGTAAAGTAATTCTGTAGTGTTTAGTAGGAAAATAGTATTGAGGGGTGATTGAGGAGATAAAACACTTTGAACTTTCCTCAGAACTATATGTAGTACCTCATCTTTAATTCACGTTTCATTAAATTCATGTATCAGCAAGTATTGAAACATTATAAACACAACCTAAAAGCTAAAGCTTCTGCGGTTATAAGTAGATTACCGTAAATCACAATCGTCATCTCATCATCATTAGCTAGCATACTGTCCTAGGAGCTAAACGAATGACTGGAACCCTAGCGTCCGATCGACGATCACCCTGTATCCTTTCCACCATGAATACCTAGTAATGCTTAGTGTTTAGACTACAAAAAAAAAAAAAAAAAAAAAAAAAAAAAAAAAAAAAAAAAAAAAAAAAAAAAAAAAAACTGAAAAAGTGTTATAAATAGTAACTGGCAACTACATATGTGTTGTTTTGTTTCTTGTCCATGATAGGGACAATGACTTAACGCCTATCGAGGGTGGTCAGCTTTCCAACAACAAAGTGTGCTCAGGACACTCTAGTAACCGTTGTGCGAATAATAGTAATAATAATAATAATAATGGTAACAATAAGAATAACGCGGGTGGCCCGCTGATGCCGGTGGCACATCTGAACGGTCAAGTGAGCGGCGGTATAAGTGGTCGGGGGTTGGCGGGTACCTCGTCTACGTCGTCGTCGTCGTCGTCGCACGGCGCCGCCGCCGCGGCCACGTCGAACTCGATAGTATTTAGCGCGGCCGAGTCTTGCAACAACCCCCTGCCGTCGTTGAGTACCGGTAACCCGTTCAACCACTATACGGGGAATATGGACTTGGAATTCGAGCTCTTCCCCAGTTCCACATGGGACTTGGATAGTAGCAGCGGGTGGGCAGATAGGCCCGAGTCGAGAGCGAGCGGGCCACCAAACTCACGACCGCCTTCCCAGCCGGGCCCGGGATCTCCGAGTCCCCAGGGACAGTACTCCTCTAATACGGCGGTGGCGCCACACTGCAGTCCCATGCGCGCTTACAGCCCGACCTCAGGGAACCCGGCTCACACCTTCAGTAATTCGTTCCCCTTCAGTCCGCTTCAGGAATCACAGACGACGTCGTCCACCTTGACGAACAGCACGGCGAGTAGCGTTAGCGCGAACGGCGCCGCAGCTGCAGCTGGATTGACGCCGAAGAGACAGGACGAAGGACAGACCGGATGCTCGACCACCAACCAGTCCCCGATGGAGACGAGCGGTACGCGTAACAGCGCGACACCCGGGCAAACTGGGACCACCGGGGGCGGCCCGAACGGCGGCGGCGGTGGCCAAACTAACGCGGGCGTCGTCGAGAATCAGAACAGTGTTGTGTCGACCGAGTCCGGTAGACTGAGAAACTTGTTGACCAAGGGGGCTAGTGCTAGTGAGGACAGTCAGGACAATACGAATAACGATTCCGAGAGCCAAAATAAGCATAGGATATTAAAGATCTTGTTGAATCAGCAAGACGAGGACGATTTTCATCCGGAGCATAATAATAAAGTGCGCACGAGTCCCAGCAACATGCCGAAACCGAGCATGGAGCATTCGAAATCCAACCTTGGGAATAATATGCTGCTACAGGTAAACACGGCTGATCTTGGCGAGATGCGCTGTCGGTACCGGACCGGTACCCGGTTGATCTTGCAGTTTTACGGTCCTCTTTTGTTTTCTATTCTTTCTGGAATCGACCAGAATAGGCTCTCCTTTGGTTTGTTAGTCCTCGGTGAGCTTTTTTCTCGGGGCATTTAGCGTCTGGTAGTGATGAGAGTAATGTCTGTATACGAAAGAGTGCATCAGTACTGTAGAGCCTCATGTATCTAAACTGGTAAGGCCACATAAGTGTTTGGGTAATAGAACAATCACGTTCCTGATACTAAATTTCATTTGTTTAAATAGTAATCAAGAAAATTGACTGCTTAAACATTTAGGAATTCCGTATCTATCTGGGTAGTAAATTACAGTTAATCATCGAGAGGTTCCCAGGTGTAACGCTGACTTCTTAATGAGGTTTAGGAATTCTGGAATTCTGAAGCCAATGATATTTTTTTTATGAAATATTTAATGTTCAGTGCCGAGGAGCCTTCGATCACTCATCGATGATTTACTGTACATATCGTAGGTAATTGTATATAAGCATTACACATTTGCAACAGAAGAAGACATCTCTTGCTGAGAGACAGTCTGTTCGGATAACAGAAGGTTCGGATAGTAGAACGTTCGAATATTGAGGTATTTGGATAACGGGTGTTCGGATACTGGAGGTTCTACTGTATTTGTTAGAAGGAGAGCTTATTGGTTGATTTGTATCTTTTTCATTTAATAATATTACATGATTCCTCGTATGTGTAGTATCTTTTATCAATTGTCTATACTTGATTTTTGAAGTTATTAAATGAGAAAAATGACGACGAGGACGAAGAGGCTCGCGCTGGTTTGAAGAAGCGGAACGAACTTCTGCAGCAGCTCTTAAAAGACCAGGATGATGAGAGAAAGGTACACGAGCAGCAGGTGGGTGGCGATCACCTTAATGCGTTATATCACAATTATAAAAGTTTGACAAGTGCTGGTCAAGTGACGAAGGTCTTGTTTCGTTTTATTGTTCCACTCTAGAAAAGATCATCTTTAATGAAGTTTGGGGCTTTCTTTCACTTTGTCTCCGTTAGCTCCATCACCTTGCAAAATGAACCGCACCTTCTTACTACTTCGGAAGTCAAACAGACTTAATCCTGTATTTATCCTCTAGATTCTTAACATTATGGTTTGAGTGTAGATAAGAGATTCAGCACGTTCGTCACTGGTGTTTACCTCAGAATCCACCACAGACCATTTTAAATGTCAAACGCTCAATTCGGCCCAGCTGTCGCCGAAAATAATTTGTGATAATAATTATTGTGCAATGGTCTGAACAGTGTAAAACACAGACTCGGGAAGAAGATCCTCTCCTGCGGAGTCTTGGATTTCGAAATACAACGCCATCCCCCTCTCAGTCAGGCGACAACAATGTTGGACTCGGTAGTTCGAGCCAGGTCGGACAGAAGAGACCGGGCGAGGATGGCGATTTAAACATTGCTGTGAAACGACCGATGGACGGTTCACACCAAGTATCATCCTCGGGTACATCGACCAATGCGCCGAGTAAGCTCTGGGAGAAAAACAAGATGTTGGCTTTGCTGTTAGCTAAACAGCCAGCTCAGCCAACCACAATCCCACCTATACCTGCGTCTGTGATATCGGCAACGCCACAGGTAATTCGAGGCTCGACTGTGTCTTTGACCCTGTTGTTGTCAATGATTATTTTAATGTAATCAACTGTTTCATTGTAATATGATTGCTGACGAGAACATCGTTTCTGTTTGTTGTACAGGATAAGCTCCCTCGCTTAGGATTAAAACCACAACAACCGCAACAGCAGTCCCAGTCACAATCGCAACAGCAGCAGCAGCAACAGCAGCAAGCACAACAACAACAGCAGCAGCAGCAGCAACAGCAGCAACAGCAACAACCGTGGACCGGTGGCAGCATGCAGTCGGTTGGTGGTAACAACACGATTACGACAACTGCGACTTCTGCGCGGACTCCTCTCCAAAGTCAGTCGAGACAACTACCTCGTCAAACAACCAATACCTACCTCAATCATATGCTAAGTCAGGTAATACTTATCCTACCAGTTGGCTAAAATTATTATGATCAATACCTTGAATGCTCGCTGTGACAGTGATTATGTTAACCGGTTTGATTGAATACGGTTCTACTAAAGACAGTACTTTTTAAATAGGAATCTTTAATTCCTTAATATCCTACACTGTATTTTTAGAAATTTGTTCTAATATGAAATTCAGCAGAATGATTCTAATTGTGTGCATGACAAGATATTATAAGAATCGTTATCGACAGTAATCTGTTATTCAATTAGCTACCAAATTAAATTTTGATTCAATAAAATTTTATTTATAATCTTCATCTGCTTGTTCTATTAGCAACAAAGACCCCAAATGGGTCAGATGGATACGGAATTCACAGGCAGCGGAGAGTATCATCAAGCGAGTACTGATCCAAGCAGTTGGGACAACCAGTCGTCAGATCCTGACCTGTCCGATATTTTGGATCAAGTTATCGAGTTCGTTCCGGATGAAGCTATTACAGGTATACGATACACTATCGAAACAAATAATCCAATCGATTACTAATATCTGTTTATCTTACAATTTCATCCCCAACAATCATGCCTCTTGATATATAATTCTCTACTTTTGCTGTCACGGTGCGACCACCAGCCTCGGATGCTCCCACATACTTTAACAAAATCCTCGGTGTCTCTCTCTTAAACAACATATTAACGCCGTTGCACAATTATTTCGTGCAAGATTGTTACTCGTGACAGCGGAAGTAGTATTATCATCGTCGTAATAATTTTTATTCAATAGATTCGTCTGCGATAGCAAATCTCCTAGATGTAATCGAAGCACCACAGAACAACGTAATGAACGAGAAAATGGCGATTAACGCGATACAGAAGTCGTTGATGTTATGTGAGAATGCCGTAAATCCAACGTCTTCCACCATAACAATTCCTGGCACGCCTCCAGCTTACTCTACTGCGGTAAGTTGCTGCTTTTCCATGCATTTTTTTTAAACAATGGCCGTGTGACAATCACATTACGTGTCCTTGTGTTATTCGGAAACTTCGTAGAGCCCTTGAACACTGGGCTCGAAACCATACTTAATATTAGTCCTAATAACACTCTTGTCCGCTTGTCTACATCAACACATTACCGACTGGCTATTTAATAGCTTTCTTAAACCCAACGATCAACAGCCAAGAACCTATTAATAAAAAGTTCAATGACAGTAGCATAATGTAACATGTCTAGTAACAGGTCACCAGTCGGTAAAGTGTTAAAGTCTTTGTTAGGAGTAGTTAATATTTATCACCAATACGATTCCAGTTGGCAACTACATCTGTAACAACAAGCCATAGTTACCAACCTCCGCCTATGTATCAGCAACAGACGAGGATGAGGAGCACCACGCAGCTAGTCAGGCAGACCACCGCTCAGTTCACGCAGCAGCAACAATTACAGCTACAACAGCAACGGGCGAAATTGATACAGCAACAGCAGCAACAACAATTGAAGCAGAGGCTACTGCAACAGCAGCAGCAGCAGCAATTACTCATTCCTTCCAACGCTACAGCTACGGACCAAATTACAACCGGCATCCACAATATCGATAATCTTCTGAATAATACTGTTGCGCCGAACGTATCGTTACAGGTAATTGTCGATAATTGGAAACAAGTTCAAAAAAACATAAACTAGTCGCTTGCTTTATTTCGTGATAATGAATATTTAGATAGTTGGTAGCGCTAATTGAAAGTAGCAAGAAAATTTGACACATTAAATGGAACAGCTTTTCTGAATACTATTTTGAGAAATTGAGGTTAGGTATTGGATTCGTCAAAACGTTCAGATGTATCCAAACCAGAGATGATAAAGTTGGACCCTTTGACACTTCTTTACAATGAATACGATTAATTGATAAAAAAGGGTTTGTACTGATGTCTATGTTCATGTACTGATGCTACTGTGTCGAATCCTGAATAGTCCAATTTTAATTAGGAAAAGTACAAAATGTAGTCTTTTCATAATAAGGAATTTAGTATGAAAAGCACGTTTGTACAAGACTAACGAATTGTCCCTTTTCAGCGGTCGAGTGTCCCAGATTCGCAAGTCTCTCCAGGTTATGGGGGATCCGTCCAGATGCCTTCCGGTCATCGACTCGCTCACTCGTACTCCCATCCGTCGACGTTACCGCAACAGTAAGGCAGTTCGAGCGTATGCGCTATTAATTGCTTTGCACCGTCACGTAACCGAGTCACTTTTATTTCTAGCTCCATTGTAAACAATAATTTCAACAGTGGTCAACAAGTGTCCGCCGCAGCACGACTCTCGCCGCATTCTCCCGCTAGTATTCTGTCATTCTCCCATCCGCAGCCGCTGTCACCACGAGTGACGCAAGTACGTTCCAAGAGCCGTTTAATTATACAAGGTGTCCCAGATGCCTCTGTCACGTAGTTTCATTTTTATTTTTAAGTTTTATTTTCGTTTCGATCAATCGGAAAGCCGCATGGGTAGCTCTTGCGATTATTTACCATTTTTTCTTTCTAACACTTTGACGACCATGTGTGTGTCAAGCTCAGTTAAATAATATTTTCGATCATCCATTACGTATTTTTATATATTTCCCCGCGATCACTCAGCCACCTTTTGTTTCATCTATAACACGACATCTGTTAAAGAATAATTGATCAGCCGACGAGAATAGTTCAGCTCGTTCGGAAACGTTCGATGCTACACGTTCAGAGACACTTATGAATTTACAGATAACAGTTTTACTAGACTACTACTCTCAGTTTTAAAATCACTCTAATATTGTCTATTAAACCAACGATTCAACAGATTTCGCTGCGTTATCACGCTCGTGAGAACGTCGTCGGAAGTAATTACAGCCGTCAAAGTGTTAACGTCACTCGACATTGTCCACATTGAATTTTACATATAGAAGCGAGAATGCTTAATTTTTTTACGTTTCCTTTTTTTTTTGTATTATAAGGGCAACTATGGTAATACCCCGAGACTGTTCAACGTTAATCAGGTGAGATCGCAGCAACAGCCGACCGCGCAGCAGCAGTTGCAGCAACAGCAGAGATCGATGCCCTCGCCGGGGACTCCAGCGTCCGCTCGGCAGTCTCCATTTCCGGCGGAGACCTTCCCCCCACCCACGTCCCCCACAGCTAGCCAATTTCCACCTGGTCCTAATCCTGGCGCGCCAAATCCTTCTGCTCAGTACCGGTTGCAACGGACCACGTCTACACCCTCGGCTACGACTCAGTTGCCAGGTAGGTTGACACCGTGTACACATAATAATTGATAACTTGACTACGATTTCGTAGATGTCATCGATCGATATATCCACTGTAGTCGGGACGGTTAGAGTTGATCTGCGAATTTGTCATCCCTTTGTTGAGTGGTGCCTAGTGGTGGAAATTGATTCACGCATTCATCTTTTTCCTGGCATTAATTGAACCAAACGTAAACGTATTCATTGATCGGAGGGTGGATGTTTTGTCTATTAAGCAGAAGATGGAAGGGAGAAATGCGTGATAGTTGTTCAGGTTAGGAGTAGATCAGCTTATCACCACTCGCGTGTCAACTCTGGCCGTCCCGACTTTAACAATTAATCTTACAGGATTCAGTGAACTTTATCTTCGATCACGTGTACCATGGTAATTTTTTTTTCATGTGACTGTCTACAGCTAGTAATTAATCCAGGATTTAGGAAAGAGATTTTAGGTGATTTCCATCGTGCGATAATGGTGGATAATTTTTTTTTTAACGTGAACATGTGTATGGTTGCGTGTTAATGCGAATCGAATGGACTCTTTAGGTGTTAGGTGATTTTCAGTGTGCGATAGGGTCGGGATATTTGTGTACTTCTGGGTTTTTCGATTTTATGCTTGAGAATTGAAGGTTATGGCGGTCGCGCTGTCGTGTTTCGTTCGACATTCCGGATGCCATTAAAGATATTAGTATCGTATACTGGTGTGATTTAGCAGCCTTTATACGGGTAAAGATATACAATATGTACATGGAACCGAAGACGTGTGATTTATTAAAAAAAAATCATTGTTTGAAGTAGGTAAGTACACAATCGTTTAAAATATATATTTTTATTCTTCTCAATATTGGAAAATAGTGGAAGTACATTTAGATTAGACGAATATGCATATAGTTGTGACTAGTCGTTTTTGTGCCTGGATTTTGTTTTTGTCATTGTAACGAAAAAAATTATTGCTGTCGAAATTCTTGCCGCGAGCTTCTCGAAAACAGGAAAGAAATACTCAATGCGTTTATTATAAGTAAATTTATTCACCATCGTTAAAGAATTTGGAAACAAGTGTTAGTATTTTTAAACTGTGTGCAACATTATGTCGATTAATATTAATTTTCAAAATTCGAAGGAAAAAATTACGAAGGACCGAATCGATATGAATTCGGTTAATGTTTGTTAAGTTATAGTCGATAATAAATCTTGAAGCTATTATTACAAATGAAGAATATAGTATATTTTGAACTTAATTATTGAGACTCATTTATATTATTCATTGGTTAAAGGTTAACTTAAAAAACAATTTGTTTGTTCGTTTATAGGCATCTAATGTGAAATTGTTTAACGTGAAATATTGCTATAGCAATCGTCTCTTTGTGATTTATATCTGATTTACGACATGATTTATTGTGGGATAGGACGAATTGAGTATTGTGCTTTGTCATCGGCATCTAAAGTAAGGAGCAAGTTAATAGACGTTCGCAAGGCCAATTCACCCCTCCAGTCACCCCTCTCATTTCACTACTGTTGTAAGTGCCAAATTAGTTAATCGGTCAAGGCCACTTCCTCGACTCTGAGTGGTGTTAGAGACTAAAGTCTATTTTAACTAAATCGATCGATCAGCGCCACTTCTTCGATCGCGGTCAGTGTTTTAATTGCTGACAATCAGGCAAAAGACCAAGCTGGGCCCTTTCCTACTGACAGGATAACTTTTCATCCGTAAATCATAAAACAAAACTTTCGTACTATATTTTTATTTCGATATCTTAATCTTCATTTTTCTTTAAGTAGCGTTTATATCATAATGTAACAGTATTTATAGAATGTGCAATTGAGCAAATCACAACATATGAAATATTGTTATAGAAAATAAATTTCCAAACTATTTCAGGTTCTTTTGAAGCATACTGTAAAAGGGGCAGTTTGTTTATTTAACGAAGAAGTATGCAATATCTAGTACCACTCGTAATTATTTAAACAATACAGGTTTTATACTTTATTCTTACTTCTAAAGGCAACCAAATGTCTCTTGCTATAATAGGTAGACAAATATAATAAATTCATACATGAAGTACCATCGTGTACAATACTAAGGCAACGATATAAACTTATCATCAATGAACTGCCACAGATAATGTCCATAGAAAATCCCAAGGAACAATACCAAGACAAGTATTAACAGAGAATGTAAAAAGTGTCATTTGGCCTTGCAGACACCTATCGAGCTTGTACCTAACGTTGACCACGTTTCGACATTCCGGTTCCTACAATGTCTATCGTAGATAACATTCCATCAATCGGAAATCGGAACACTGACTTGTCCCTGTTCAGTTGATCGTTGCTAGTACCGGACAAAACTCGTCGAATGAACCGTTTACCCGTGTCAGTTATTCAGTAAGCGTTATTAACTTGAATTTCGATCTATACGGCCCTCGACTATCGGGAGCATGGACCTCGGAGCCGACCTAGGAAAAGCGTTAAATGTTGTTTCACTAAGCAACAAGAAACCAAGGAGATAGACAAGCTTGATGTTGCAGGTGGGCTCGGTTCGCCCCGGCACTACGGCGGAGTGAATAAGGAACAACCTCTTCTTTCACCTAGTCATCCACATTCTGGTTGTCCAGCGACACCGACTCACAATCAACACAACGTAACGAATACCCAACAACACTTCTCCAACCAACAACATTCTTCTATGATATACGCCAATACAATCAACACAGCAGACATGCAGAACAATCAGTTCTGTTACGATCGGACGTCTGTTCCACTCTATTCGTCCGGGTCTGGGGACACGCAGGACGCCAGGCCTCTACCTCCCGGTAATCCTGTCAATCACCAAATGGGTGGTAAGTCATGTGACCATTTAATGTCATGTGACCATCACTTCGTCATCATCACAATACCCCCTGTCCCGCCCTCAATGCCCGATCTGTCTGATCTAAGTATCCACCGCCTACACGTCATCACCGAACGACGCAAAAACGGCATGAGACGTATTTCTTTTCTTTTTTTTTTTTTTTTTTCTTGGTACGCGGTAGCACACCGTATCATTCTATCACCAAACACCCCGTCGATGTGTACATCCGAGCTGTGTAAATACGATGATCGTCCTATAATCGTCAACCGTTCGTTCAGTGTACCCTATCATCGCACCCCTGCAAGTCTCTGTCCCTTTACATCTCTCACGCTAAGTCTGGGGAAACGGTGTTTTGCGTTTGCTAATCCAGGTTTCACGACACATGTTTTACGATCGTCATCCCGGGATCATTTCATCGTCTCGATCTCGATGTTCGTTTCATCACGCTCTCTGTCTCTTTCTCTCATCCACAGTATACGTTGTTATTCTTTTTCTCTGTCTCTTCTCATCATTACCTTTTCGTTTGTTCGATCACGGTGGCCTTTCGTTCAGCGACAGCATTCTTACAATATTTGTACGGTTCTGTGATGTAAATAGTTCTTTTTGTTCTTCAGAGCAATACAGTTTTGTTTGTAACTTCATGGAGTATGGAGTCTGTTACGCTTGATCGGTAACAGTTTGATCGAATCTTCCATCTTTGTGGAGTTTTTATAGTTTCCATCAGAGAGATCAGTTAAACCGTATCATCATCGTGATTCGCTGTCGTATTTTGTACTTCTTCGGTTGTCATTTTCACACAGTTGGGCGAGAAGTGAACGCGTAGCGTCGTAATCCTCTCGAACATAGTGCTAATTGTTTGCATGATGCTTTTGTTCATAGTTTCGAGTCCGACTAGCGTCATAACCCATACCTGCTGCAATGTACACACCTTTAATCATTTTGTAGTTTGATGAAGCCAGTCGCAACGGTTCCGTTCCGTATTTTCTTCCTTCGTTCTTGTTCGAATGATATGAATGCGTCGGGTGCAAACAAGATGGCGGCCCCTTCTTGGGCGACACGTCAAACGAGTAATTTATTTCTCTTTTTTTGGCTGAGAATACAAAAAAATAATGTTTCATGTGTTCAGAATCTTATAAGAATCATAATCCTGGTAGAATGTGACAATTTTTTAATGAAAAATTTGCAACATTTAGTTTTATTGAACAGTGTATATTTTTGTTGTGAAACTGTAAGTCGTCGTACTAACTGTTTTGACACTGTTTGTGAATTAGCGTAACATTTATTTTCTTTATGTTCTATTATATAATCTTTAATTTTCAATAAAACTATGAATTTGTTTTTTTTTTTTATTTTTCAGAGGTATTAACTCACATTCATATCTTATGAACGAAATTGAAAGAACGAGACTGGCCATTAACCGCGAATTAACTCCAATAATTCCACGTTCTTCATCAAACGTCCTTTCATTTTGGGAATAACACAGTTCACTTCGTGTTCCTAACGGAGCAAAGTGTTAGACCTTTCTCGCGCCGAATGAACGTCAGTCGGTTCTATTGAATTGTCGTCCGTTCAAGGGAAAAAACTTATCGAAGGTCTGCATTTTGTAATCGTGTGTTAGAAAGACGAAAGAAGTTCTTCCGTCTCTCTGAGAGGAGAACACACCGATCAGCCATGTTCCTACTGAATTGTGATGTAACATATTAGAGCCTCATCGCCATCTACGACCTTTTGTCTCACACTAATTCTAGCGATACAAAACACGATATGTTCGAGATTGCACCCTACTTCTTGTTTTTTTTTTTTTTTTGTGTAGCGATTAGAGGGGCCACACTTTCCTATGATGATTGTAGACACCGATGTACCTATGTAACGATCATAGTAGATAAGTCACGTAGGAAAGACTGTCCTTTTGTACCATATCTCTTTTAGGTACCCTCTTTGTGACTCGTATACGTTAAGATCACCGTACTTTTTAAGGTGGACTGGAAACGGAAGCGGGCAAATTGTTTCTGAATTCTGTTAACTTCAACTAATCGTAGATATTTATATCAATAATTAGAATCTTCTTTGCAAATGGTGTATGAATCCTTTAAGTTCGGAGAACTTGTAGCGACGCCATTGGCTTACATTTATTTTCTATGAAAAATGAACTGTGAAGTTCATATTTTCCAAAAATGAATTTTGAAGTTTATATTTTCGCAGACGTGACTTGATACATTTAAAATCTAAAATGGTAATTCGTTATATTTCATTTTACATGTCGAAATACTATACTCTTGAAAAGTGATAAATTATTCGAAATGTTTAATAGGTGTATAGTGAACTCACTTTTCGGAACTTTCAATGTCGGATACTTATCACAATATGTCGATATGATGATATATTTATTTATATTACGTTTATACAGGTGGTCTGACAATATTTAATTATGTACACTATAATCTGTAATCAGCAAACTATAGTCACAGTAAAGTATATTGTAATCAAAGGAAAATGTAAGTTGGTACAATTTAGACTTCGTCAACGATTTGCAATACAGAACAATTTACTAAATTAATTTTATAATTACGGAACTAAAGATATTGAAGATCTGTGTTTGAAATATCACCAAAAAGAAAGAAACGACCGGTAGTGTGTAATGAATAGTAAGACGTTTGAGGGAATACATTTTTTGAATTTTTCTGGACGAATCAAAACGTTCGAATACATTTGAGCGGTACTGTATAACACACGTTGAAAATGAAATCTTAATTTGAAGAAATTATTACTCTTGCAATTTTTTGTCTCTTAACATGACGTTTGACATTACTTTATTTTTGAAGTTTAGACTGCTTACGTCAGTATTAGTTAAATGTAATTATTCCCTACAGTAGGTTCGTGATAAATTAGATAATAACAAGGAGAGTTAAGATAATACATGGAAGTAGAAACAAGTGGCGAGAATTGCACGGTATAAGTAATTTGCCCATTTCCGGTTCGGAACATGTACGCACCGTTTAGTGATTATCTCCGGCACTTCCGGAACACGTAAATTAGCGTCACTGTCACTTGCTGCACCACATTGTGAAATCTGTGTTAAAAACTAATATGTATTTTGCTACCTCCATATCGTTAAGACTGAATTTCTTGTATCGATGTAATCGACCATTAGTATTTTAGCATTAACGACATATCCAGGCGGTACGTTCGACAGTCGTTGAAGAACGTCTTTTTTTTTGTCCAATCCTCTTACTGTCAATAATTATACACGTCGATCTACCGGGTGTATGAAAAGAAAAATCAAAAGTCGAACGTAAATTCTTATTTTCTTTCGAATATTACGCTGAAAAGTAATTATTTTGCATCTTAATGAAAATGTATTGGATGTAACCAATAAATAATCCGCCATATTCTCTCAAATTCAATACTTTTTTTCGTGGAAATCAGAAGCTCTGTTCCGTCTCAGAGATATTTCTTCTCGTTACTCGAAACTGTTATACCAGTTTACTAAAAAGAAATGGTGGTTTATTTATTGATAAACCTAATAATTTGAAAGAATTTAGTTTCAATTGTATTATGGATTGTTTACAGAATATAAATTACTTCGACTTGAAACAGTTCGACGTAATCACCTCATTTCTTTCGCGCTCAGTATTATACAGTTTATGTTTAATTATGTTACGCTTGTTGTCTCACAATAGTTTCTTTGTGTGTTTTTATGTTGTGTTCCCTCATTAATTCCCGATCAATTCATATTTATTATCCATCCGAATATCGTTTTGTTTTATCTTTTGCGAGGAAACGTGTTAGGGTTGTTTCACGTTTGGAGCATGATTAACGTAGACGCCCAATTGTACTGAAATATGGGTGTAAAAAAAATGTTGGAGACCCCGGAAATGGGAGACTTGTGAGGTGATTTGAAACAAGTTTTTCCTTAGCAAAAATCTTATCTGAGGCCTTGTTAACGAGATATTGACGAAAAACCCCGACCAATCAGAGCGCGAGTCTGTCAGACGAGTTCCCGCAGTAACGTTGGCTACGCGCTGCAATTGGTAGTCACTGTTACCGCGGGAACACGGCTGGCAGACTCGCGTTCTGATTGGTCGAGGTTTTTCTTCAATATCTCGTTAACAAAGCCTCAGATAACATTTGTGCTAAGAAAAAGATTGTTTCAAATCACCTCATGAGTCTCCTATTTTCGGGTCCTCCAATATTTTTGTTACACCCTGTAGAACTCGTTACCATTGACTTCGAAAAAATATAACTGCATTACATTACAAATATTTTTTTTACATAGACAAGAATATTTTCGATAGGTACAATACACTGCTGGATATAATTTTAAGATCACCTCTTTCTTTTATGGTGTTTTCAGTGATTTATTACTAAAACTACTCATTTTCCTTTATACTTTTTTGCCCAACTGGAAAACAACATTCTTCTAAACAATCATGATAATTTATTATACATGCAAATAATACGTAAATTGGTTTCATATTTTTTGTTCATGCAGTTTTATGTAAATCCTCAAATGGAGAATAAATAGTTTTAGTTATTAATCACGGAAAACTCCAAAAAATGAGGTGAACCTATAATTCTCTCCAGTAATGTAGGGGATCGTTAAAAATTTGCATATATGCATTGTAAAAAACTTAGCGAATCGTGTGGTATAAATGAAAATCAAATGATTTCTTATGTAAAAACTAATGGAAAATATGTAATGAAACCTTTTCATACGAGCTTTTATTTTCGAGAAAGTTGATTTTGAAAATTTGTTAGATACGACTTCTGTCTTGTTTATTTTTTGCAATGATTTTACATAGATTTAGAGTTAGAAGATACTAAAGTGATAGGAAACTAATATTAATTTTTAAAATAAGAATAGAAACAGTAAATAATAGATAGATATTTTAGAATATGCGCTGAATTTTCAAAATCAATTATGAATATGTTAAAATTTGTTGTAAAAATTACTTTTACAAAAGGAATCTTGTCTTTCTATTTATATCAAAATTTTGTATACGCTCTGTACATTCTTGATGCTAAGCTGGCGAAGAAAACGCAAAATTAGTCGAATGAACGAAATATGCAGTTATAAAATATCGTGTCACGTTAATCATTCCCCTAATCTCTGTGTCAATATTCGTTGGTGTATTAAAATTAAGCTGGTTCCGCGATTTTCAGAGTCGCCTTTGTCCTTGAACTATGATAAAGAGAAGGGCTACTAACAACGGCGCATTTTCATGTACAGTGCATCGAGCTTTTTGTGATTAATCAGTGTCACTAAAATGCAGTGTTATTAAGCATCGTCGATACGTGGGTCTAATGTTTCTCAGAGCTGCCCTCCCCCTTCTTTTTTTGTATTTATGATGCTACGTGTCCACGTGAGAGCAGACTCCTGTGAGTTATACACTCTTCCTCGGTTATGTGTGTCAGTCTGACCCCTGTTAATATGTTAAAGCATCGTTTCGTTTATTTTTTTTTATTGGTTGAACATAGAAAAAAAGAAAAATTTCAATTACTAATCGACTATATACAATTCCTTATTTTTAAAGTAAAAAATAAATAATAATCGATTGACTGGAAATTACTCATAGCAAGTTTACCCATTGCTATTATGTATATTGCGCAAAGAAACGAAACTAATTGATAAAGTAATATAAGTTACGATGGTTTATTTATCCCAGGGTATACTATAATAACCAATATAAACAGTTGATGCGACAGTAAACTCTAAAGAAAAGAGATGTTTTATTTTGTATTATCAAGGAAAAAATATTTAATTTTTTTCAGTAGCGATCTTGTCGACAAATTTTATATTGTTATAAGTATGATAGTTATTTTATATGCAACTGTATTGTTCCTAACACATGTGTCTCTTACAATTCTTTAATATTACATGTACCAATTTTGTTGATGTCAAAAGTAAATTCACTATGTCTTTGTTACAAGACTATATACTTGGATTATATTTTCAATTCGTTGTTTCGTTTTAACTTAACACCAGAGTGTTTCATTAAAATATTTACATGATTATTTTAGAACCACCCTGCACATCATTTCCACCGACTCTGTTCTCATGTCAAGACACGTAGCATAATCTTAATATGCTGACTGCCCAGATTTTCACTATCTTCACGATATCTTAAGTCGTTACTATTACCAAAAATTACGTGTGTATATATAGGGTGTTCCACGAAACTGGGCCAAGCCACATCTTCAGAACGCTAGGAGGTACAAAATATGTTCACTAGGCAAATTTATTAATTTAATTTAAATAGTTTCGTGTGATGTATCATATGGTGCATGTATGTGCCACGAAAGTGGAACCGTGTCAAAGATTTCATGGTCACCTTTATTGTTTCAAAGTAAAACTAAACGTCTCCACTTTCGTGGCAGAAATGTGCACCATATGATGCATCACAGGGAACCATTTAAATTTCTTCAAATTGAATAATTTCCTACCTTGTACCGTTTAAAAAAAGATACAGCTTTACCCACTTGCGCGGCACATCTTGTATAATACATTCCTCATTTGAATTATTACCCTATTACTAACTATATTAACTAGATTGCAAATCTTATTATTCAAAAATCACGTCGGTCATCAATGAGCACCAATAGGCCAGTCAACCTGTTAAACCGTCTCCCAACTGTGACGATCCGAGGCTTCGTCTCACAGTAACCTTTTGTTTATTACTCTCCACCCACCCATCTGTCTATCGCTCTCTTTTTCTTCACCAAGAATTCTCATCGTGCTTGAAAGTCATAAAAAGATTCCGTGACGAACCGGATGGGCCGGATATCAGGTGTCGTCCTGTCAAATGGCAGACTGTGTTGCGAACTATGTTAATGGCAATATTGTAAATACCGCATTTTTTTGTAATAAAGCATTCATCCCGTACCTGTATGACTAACTTACGTTACGGCTTGCACATAGAGACACGATCCGCAGAGTAACCACCGCGACAGAGAGAGCAAACGTGTTTCCCATCGATCCAGTCGATGGAATTGACTGTGATCGATGGACGGGAAGAGCAACAGGAACAAAACAAACAACAAAACTACAAGGGAAATAACGGTTTCGTTTTGTCGCAGGGAACGCAAGCTGCACCTCGGAGTTCGTCAGGCAGGAATTGAGGCGAGCGATCGTCGGCGCGCGGACGCAGCAACAGCAACAGCAGAGGGTACCGAACAACATACAGAACAACCTGTCCGGTCAAGTCTCTCAGGACGATCTCGAAGCGCTTGGTCTCACCTTTGAAATGTCCCCTGCAGGTACGTTGTTTTGGAAGGAGTGATTCGACCGCGGTTCCTTTCTTATGATCGCGTGTCACGGGGCCCAATTGAAAGAATTAAGGGGATAGAAGTGAAGGGGCTACAGCAGTGATCTCCCAAAGTGCTCGTTCTCCTGGGATCTTTTTAGATTTGAAATTGGATTCTCACAAATTTCAAACTGGTTTCTCACAAATGACACACATCTTTCTATATGGTTTTCGAATCAGGAGAAGACTCCTAAAAGTCCTAGGTAGTTAAATCGATCAAAGATTGGCAGATTAATTTTTTTCCTACAGTTTTCAACAGTGGGATGCACCACAAGTGCTTAGATTATGCTTTTATATTACTTGGATTTTTAGGATTTATATGTTACCGAGGACAATCTTTGCTCAAGTCGTATGAGATAGGAAAAAATATCTCTGAAGGTAGCTAAGTTGGTGAAAGCAGCCACCTGAAAAGGGCCCAGTTTCGACTTCCAATCTGGTTTCTGCTTCTTTGCATAGAATATTTTTTAGCAAGTTTGATGAAATTTACACTATTTATACAGTGATTCCTTTGAACAATGTTTTGTTCGTTAATAATTAGTGAGAATCTAGTCATGGGAGTGTACGTGTTAGTCCAAAAAGCCTTATCCTAGCCTCGAACTCAAGTTTAGAGACCGTGGCTCTTACAAAAGAAGTTTCTAGAAGTAGAAAGAATGAAAATGAGCACTATGGGAGTCATGAGAGTCGCGCATTATAGGGGCCACTACTGTATTTTCATACAGGGTGGGATAATTGCCGCGATAAAAACATATGGTTTATTTTCTGACGTAAAAGTAAGTTGTTATTGTAGAATAAATCTTTTTTTTCGTATAAGGTCTGATTGTAGTGATTTGTCCTATTATAATTTTGGACCAGTGCAGTTGGACCTGAAATTGTTTTTTAGATTAGAATGTGAATTTTATGCATTTATGACAATTTAACTATTTCAACCAGTTAATTGTAGATTTTCAACTTACTAAACTAGTTTTTGTTCAACTTTTTATAAAATTATACAGTCAGAAATTTATTCTACAATTTCAAGTTATTTTTGCACCTGAAAGTAAACGACTACTGGCATATTTTCAAACGTATTTTGGGTGTAACTTTGTATTTGTCGACCATCCTTCATTCGTTTCTTGATACTAACAAAATTTCAGGTTCCTATGCGTCGTATTATTCGATCCTTTTTCGTCAGTTGTATCGCGTAGCATAATAATTGAATTTCTGCACCTCGCCTGAACGCTGTGAAAAAGTATTACAGGGACTCCGCATAAATCACAGAAAAATTCGAAATTTCTTTTGATACAAACATATAACGTAATAAATTTCAAGTATCACTTATATAATTCGTTTTAAAATGTAAAAGTATTTATTGCGCAAGCCTATTAGACCGAGGTGGTTTCTTAATATATAGTTATTATTAAACTTGAAATTTGTTATTATATAAAAAGTACTATGATTATGTATATAGAAAGTATGACTCGATACAGGAACGCATACACTATGCTTCTGCTTATGAGGACATAGGATTTCGATAAATTTTCCAAATTCCACTGCATTTAAAATGAATGCATACGGTGTAACGTATAGAAAAAGTGAAGCAGTAAACGAATTATTTTAGCGTCAGGAACGTTAATTTTTACTCGTATTTTTTCGACCGGTATCGTATACATATATTTCTACCTCTATAACGCGCGATAATTTCATTAAAAATTGAACAATGCCATAGTTTGCAAAAAGTCAGACGGGAATTATCTCGTATCAATATTTTCTTGTATATTGAATTCAAAAATATAAGAATTTGTTACTACGTTAATTTCATTGCTTCTTCTATCGCAGTTATCTCGAAAATACAGTATTCCCTCTTTATAGTTGCGCTGATTGGTGCTAGTAACGCGACTATAGAGAGCAATGGTCTCGATTCCAAGATCATTTAATTGGCTGATGTGACAATTGGTAAGTTTGTTTCTTAAAAAAAATTATAAATTTCAAAATATTTGATCTCTTGAACTAAATAAGCGTGTGAACCGCTAAGTTTTGATTCTGGACCACTGTATGACAAAGCGATTATAAAGAGGTCGCTGAGGCGAGCTTATAGAGAGGGAATACTGTACTGTTTACGAAACACTCCGAATCTACCGTGTGTTATCACGATGGATTGTAGCTTCCAGTCTGATCCAATAATACAGGTCACTATTTTTCCGCGTATACATATATATATATAGGGTCATACAAAAGCAAAACGATCATTAGTATTTCGTGCGAATTGATAAGGAAAGTAACGTGTGTGTCCCTGTCCGTCCGGTAAACGTACAGAGAACGAGGAGTGTGTCCCTGTCGCACGTTACGAACACCTGTGCTTCTTGTAAGAAAAGGCATTTATTTTATAATAAAGACTGGTGGTAACGCCTACTGTTACAATGTCCTAACTAGGTGAGGCTGTGGTTAGCGATGGCCCTGCAAAGAGCTGGGCCATTGGGAGTGCCGGAAGTGCCCCCTCGTCCTCCAGGGTAAGACCCTTCCGACAATATACTTTTACGTACACATATATGTATATGTATATATGTATGTATATATATATATGTATATATATATATATATGTATATATATATATATATGTATATATATATTCATGTCACACGTGTATACATATATACGTATATTTTATTTTATTTTTTTTTTCTTTATTTTTGATTTTGTATGCTATGTCTACCCTTCTTCGCTTGGCTTCAGAACTTATTATTGTGCACGAAATGTTAATTGATTTTTTTTTCTCTCTCTACGCACTGAGCGTAAAACTTGTAGGGGGTATTCTAGCGCTCTCTTTGCATGTGTCACTTGGACGTTATTTATATTGTTTATTTATACGTACGGCGTGCGTATACAGGGTAGTGATGTTTTAATGGGGACTCTCTAGTATCTTCGTGTTTATAGAACAGAACGTGGGGGTATAAATTGCTCGAAGGGGCCGACAGTATGGTGGATCGTAAATTCATTTGGTGATCGTTTTCTTTTCAAGGTTTCAACGTCATCTGTTTCTTTTGTTTTCAAATGGAACCTCAGGTTTTTTTTTCTAGATTTTTGTAGAGGATAAAAGAACAAACTTAATAACTCAACCAGTTTCAGCATTTAATCGTAGAATACCCTAATCCAAAGATAATTAATGTTTCGTCAAGTTATGTGAGCGTAAAATCTGGATATAATGGAAGAAACAATAATTATTTTCAAGTTACAATATTTTCAGATTTGATGTTCGAAATGATACACTCTTGCGACTCATTCAAATTCTGTTCTTTACTCTCTATAAGAAGGTAGAACAAAAATATACACGGTTCTATTTAAGAAATAAAATATACCAGTGACCTCGAAATCTCGAATGAAAATAGATCTTGAGAGGGATTTTCTTTTCACCGTATTATTTGTCTCTTGGACAACTGTACTTTCACCCTTAACATCTTCGTCAGGATGTCTATAAATCATGGAGATAATCAGATGTTACCATTTAAATGGCCCACGCTGTATGTACACGTTTATACACAGATTTATCGCCACCTATTGATAATTTTGCACCGTCGACACGGAATTTTTTCCCCTCCATTTTCTCGCTCTTCCACGCCTATCTGGCTCTCGATCGAACCGGCAGATGTGTATATTCTTTTTTTTTTCCTCGCCGTTGGCTCGACTTTGTACACCATTTCGCGACACGAGCTTTGTACGACAGTGCTGCGTGGACGTACAAAGGAATACACCGAGAGCCCGCTTTGTTCGTCTAGCCGAGAGATTGTTCGATCGTTCGCATTTCCTTCTGCCTTTTTTTTTTTAAATCTAGATTTTTCATCTTTGTTGTTGTATTTAGAAGTTGTAGAAGTAGGACTGGGTACTGGTGATGAAATTGGTGATTTATTTTTTCTAATTAGCGTCGCTGTTAATATTAATCGCTCATCGCTGTTTTTGGATGAAATTGTTGTTGAAGCGGCGATTACATGGTTGGTGCATATGAAACGTTGCTTTTATGAAGTCCTGAGATCTATGGTACGGTTACAGAGATCGGTTAAATCAATTTTTTTTTTGTCACTTTTGTTACGCATAATTTGTTAGAGCTGATAGTTTGTGTTATTATAAATAATCTAAATGTATAGATGCTTGTGTAAATCAATTTTTGTTCACTTTTGCTACGCATGAATTGTTAGATTAATAGCTGGTTTGTCAAGTGTACAAGCTAGATTGATAAACAGTGAGATTACTTGAAGGAATTAATTAATATTCTCGACATTTCATATAATGAATATCATGTGTTGTTGCGTAATGATAAAGAATTGTTTAACAATAATTAATGAATAAAGCATTAAAGTCGTTTAAAGTGAGACCAAGAATCTTGTATTGGTAATTTTGATTGAACTGAAAGCGTGACGAAAAATAAGTTCTTTAGAATGTACATATTACTGATGGTTTGTTGTGACCAAATAATATATTGTAATATGCACCAATCGGAAATGTTAGACATTATTCCAATGAATTGTAGAGAATCCTGATTTCAGAAGCAAAACAAGAAATGTTTAGAATTTCTAATAAATTTAAGCCAATAAATTAATTGTTTTCTGTGAAATCAGTTTAGTGTTTTTGTGATACTGGTAGATTAATTGAAGAATTGGGTAAAATCATTGAGAAAACGAGATAAAAATTATTTCGTATTACATATTCTTCTGAAATGAATCTTACTCGTAGTAGAAAAATTATCTACAAATTCGTAAAATGACCTACTTATTTTAACGACTCTCTCTTTTGGATGTATAAGTCGTCCTATTGCCAACGAAAATAATATTGGAGCAGTACGTGTACAGATTCCATACGAGTCAGAAAAACTAATAATTAGACTGCGGATATTTATAGAAATTTAAATTTTTATGGAGCAAATGCAAATTTATAAAAACAATATACTAACACGAATTTCTTCCATCCATTAAAAACTTTTTCAAATTAAAGACAGAAGGAAGAATATTGTCGAGCTTGTTATCCCATATATTCACGTGTATTATAAAATACATAAAATCTGCATTTTAGTGATAATTAAATTGGGGATGTTTATATAGAGATTTTTATATCATTGGTGTATAATAAAAATTCATTATTTTATCGAGGATATGAAGAAAGGAAATAAAAATCTTATTAAGAAAAGTAGTACATGATATTTTACCAAATTTGATATTACTTTTTTACGAAATTAAAAAGCTGTGTTACTTTAGTAATTATTTATCGTCGTTCTCGATCATTCTCTTCCGCATTTAACAAACAAAAATAGACGAAAAGATGTTTCGAATTTCAACTATATCCATTTCACTGAAACAAAATGGTGGATCATTTATGAATTCAACTAATAATTAATTTTTTGTTATAAACGTTGAGTTTTAGAAGTTTTTGGCTATATGTTATGAATGTACAAAAATCCGCAGTCTAATTATAATTTAATAAAAAGTCAAGAGTAATTGTTATATTTGGTTTCTGTACTTCGTTCACCTCGTTCATCGTTACTATAGAACTCGTATTATCCTTTTTGTTAATTTTTCTGAAAGGGAATCCCACCCTAGACTTGTATAAACTTCACATCCAAGTTTTACACTCATTGCGAGGCTAGACACTTAGTCTCTATGTTTCTATGTAACTTTCTCAGATCGACTAATATTATCGTCATCGAACAATTTAATTCGACATCGATCTTTTAGAACACGTAATCGAAAATGTTAATATATTTTGCTGTTCTTGACACAACCGTGCTCTCATCCGCACTCACGAGACTAATTTCTATTCTTCTCGATTGTGTTAACTGCAAGTAACCTCCCGCATTCTTTGTTGTTCGCAACAGAACTAATTCTTTGTGAGTAGAAGCAGAAATATACTTGTATTCAGTGTGGCTTGTATTTCTGCTAAATCGTTCGTTTTCTTTGGAGAATTTCTATTTCTTTAAAAATTAGGAAAGTTGATTCTACTATTTGCAAATATGAATTTAAAATGCAAATTTCCTGCACTTGATGTATTTAGTAAAGGAAAAACATTTATGAGAAAAAGCATTAGCGTTAGTGAACAAGAAAAACAGAAAGATAAGGCATTCTGATGAATTGATAAGAATATTTTTCTAATTTATTTTTGATGTAGTGACTGTAAAAGAGTAAATCGAAAAAGTTATTAAAATCAATTTTACTCAGAATTTCTTCTCTCAGAAAAAGTGTATTTTATAAGCATTTGATATAGCAAGAAGCTTCTAATAATATTTTGTAGATCTGTCTGTCGAAAACGACGTCAGAGAGGCTCAAAATTAAAATACACGACCGAGAGAATATCAATAAAATAATTACGGTGTATAAAGTTTTCTTTTCGTTTCTGAAATTTTATAAATAATGCATATTAGCCTATAAAATTATTATGAATAGTACAATAAAGAAGATATTCAATACACATAGAAGAATACATGACGATTATCGAAGCAAATTTATTTTAAATATTTTATATGGAACAAATTTTCTTTCAATCGGATAAATCACTATTTTAAAAATAATAAAATGAATATTCACAACGTTTCTTCCAAAAGAAGATCCTGAATTCAATGTATGACTTTCTGAGGTCGAGTTTTTGAATATTGAAACCAGAATATTCATTTTTATTCAGTTTATTTCGTTTAAATCTTGATCGTAAACTTACTCGGTGCAGAGACACGTTGTTTCTTCTTTTAGTTGTAGGGTGATGGTGCAGTAAGCTTCAGCTGACTCGAAGTAATTTACTATTAATCAAACTGGCATTTTGTCGTATCTTGTAACGTTTACATTTTCTAGTATCGTAATGCTTTTTCACAGTGAGCCAAAATTAGATAATCTAAACGCTCTGCTCTCGCAGTTTCCTGTCGAAGCTGATTGCGCGTTGAATTTCCCATCGGCGAACCCGGAAGTGCCTCTTGAAGAAGTCGCTTCCATTGACTAGCCGCCATCTTGAGAATTTCGGACTAAGTTTACTAAAAGACGAAATGCTGCATTGTCTTCGGTCTATAAAGTGAACGTCGATGTTAATGCAATACAAATTAATATAATCATTTAATTAATAATTTGTTTGTCGGTAAAAAGTTGATACCTTCAATGCAAGACTAATTTCAATGGAATTTTTTGTATAAAGTTACTCTGATTATTTTTATTAATTTCGTTCTATCACGCCGTTTATTACAATTTTGATTCCTTTGTAATGAAAACGTGATTGCCTGAATGACTATATTCTTTCACTTACAATTATTTTTACAAGCATTGTACATGGAAATGCCTATTTTATTGAAGTTCGAGATCGAATCACGAGAAAACCTGATGAGTTTAAATTTAGGTCATGTTAGAAATAATACATTGTAGTTTCATTAAAAAGTATGATTACAATTACCTTCTTCTTCATAGATATTCGTCCGATTCATTTTGTGTTAATTTCACAAGAAGTCTTTGCATATACTGTTCTTTCATAATAAAATACATCACATACTAAATCCCGTTATTCATTATGAATATCTTTGGAACCTTTTCAAATCGAGATTTAGACAACCGTCATTAGTTCAATTATTGAAGATAATTGCAGTTGCATTGAACGTATTAATACTACTTAGTGATCGTTACTCAAAGAATTTCACAGAATCGGTAACGATTATTACTTGAATAACGCAGCAGCAGTAAATTTTTTTTATTTGCATATTACAGTATTCCCTGCCTATAGTCGTGCCACTCGGGACTAGTAACGTGTCTATAGAAAGAGGTGGATAATTCCCCTTTTGGCTGTTAGTTTTGTTTCTTCAATTCGCTGATTACTGTTGTCAATGCAATAATAAAAAATAAAAATTGTAAGTGATGAATGTGTTTGAGATATCGACGCGTTTATAGTCAGCACGGCGAGTCGACTTTATAGAAAGGGAATACATTGCTTGAAAAATTGATTTTACGTAAAAATGAGGACCAAACTCAATGATCCCGCGACACTTCGTGATTTTCAGCGTAGTTTCTTAACGTTCTGCAAAATAACTGCTTTGATACAAACAAATAGATAAAAATAAATCAAAAACGACCGTTTCTATGCGTTAGTTGCCCACTCACGATGGCCGTATGAATTTCTCTTCCTCTCCCTATATTATATATTTTTTTTAAGCGTCACTAGATTAGAAGCCTTTGGTGTGCATTGGAACATTAGATGTGTAGCGAATTATGTGGCTTCAGTACAATTTTCTTTTTGGAATTTTAGCTATGCGTTTGCCTACGTAGATGCATAAGGATGCTGCTCGAAACAATCGAGTATTCGTTGAGATTCTTCTCTGTTCCTTTTGTTTTTTCCTTTAGTCTTTTCGAATGAGTAAAGAATGTGAGTATTCAAAAAAAAAATCGATGTAATGCTTGCTATTGAATGTATCATTTAAAAAAATATGTGATACGTATCGTTTATATTTAGAGGAATCTTATTTATAATCGTTACTAAAATTTAAAATTCAAAGATTTTATTATGTTACTGATGTTACACATGTTGATATCTCATTTTTCAGTTTCAATTACTAAACGTTTGAGTACTCACATGCAGTCAGCAAGAATGCATTAGTTCCGATATTTAGAGCCGATATTTTCAGTAATTACAAATAATCAGATTATAAATGATTATGTGTAGATAGATACGATTAAAATACGGAGTTCAAGAGTTTGGAAAATACTAATCACTAAAACGCTATTTTCTGATAATTAATGTTTTCTTTCTTCTGTAATCTGTATCGCAGGATAAAGCAGTAAAATCTATTGATGTAAAATTTTATATAATTCGATTTTTATCTAGTCCGAAATTTTGTACTAATGTACAGTTAGTATTTATTTTAAGGATGTTCATAATCGTGCGCATATAATTTTCGTTATACTTGTCATTATTTTGTACTATACTTTTCCACATTGAGTTCAAAGTTGTTTAATTGCATTTCAGCACGCTAATATTTATTTTAGAGCAATACTGTACCGCAAACTTCGTTTTTTTGCTTTTTTTGCGTTGTTTGTTCTGCACAATAACACAAAATGACAGCATGTGTATACATGCTAATTATTAATATCAATCTTTATAAATAATATTCTATCGGCAGTTGATCATTTTTCATTACAGAGATTGCACTGAATATAAAACTTCTTAGTTGGTAATGGATTTTACACACTTTCAGCAATTATTTTTATTTTGTTTTTATGCTAATAAGATATTTAATAGAAAGAAACAGATTTATCCTTATTTCAAACTTTTATTTAAAGAATAAAGACGCGTCAAAGAAGATAATGACGTAACAATCGTAACTAACACATTTTGTGTAGCAACACCCATGATTTTATTGTTAATGGAATTGTCAAGCGTATTGGAATATTCAAGAAAAGTTATTATATCAAGGGAATGTTGTGAATGATCACTAGACTACGAATTTTATGCGTTCGTTTCCACAATCGATTGTTATCAGTATGGCAATATGTACTGAGGTTTGTGCTTTAATGAAACCTGATAGAATCTCCAACAGAGTATTTCATTCTAGTTCTTGTTAGTCATCACATTACATTTGCTACCGTATTCATGTAAAATCAAGCAACAAATTTTAACACAGACGGTCTTATTTCACTTGTTGGGCCATAAATGGTTATATTCCACTTGTTCCATTAGAGACAGTCTCTGTTCTGCCTCTTTATCTCTTATTCATCTATCAGCAAACTAAATTTCAAATTAAGTTAAATCATCGCCCTCCCCCTAAGTGAGACTAGGTGTGTTACTACTTAAACATCTACAATTGTATACACATCCGCAGTCTAATGATCACAATTTTCCCAAAATTCTGCTTCTTCTTGAAAGTTCGTAGTACAAAAATCGCGCGAAGGCTCTTCAACGCCTAATACAGTTTTTTTTTTCTTCCTAAATGACATTCCTCAAACGGGCTTTTTCATTCCGTCATAATAAAGCAATCGAAATAAAATTTCCGTTTGTATTATTACGCACTTAAACATCATTTTCCAAATCTTGATACTCCGTCATTCGCGATACCTGTCTCTCTCTCTCTCTCTCTCTCTCTCTCTCTCTCTCTCTCTCTCTCTCTCTCTTTCTCTCTCTTTCTCTCTCTATTCATCCGTGCATTTCGGATCGATCGGCTTTCCTCGAGAGAAAAGCCATCGTCTCCTACCAAATCCCTTCGATCAACCCAATAACCAACCCACGCTAATCGAACGGCGCTAACTTTTTCCAGACTTCTATGGAGGAAGTGGCTCGAGGTGATCCGAAGGTGAACCAGTCGTCGCTGTTACAGAAGCTGTTGTCCGAGTGACTGCAGGCCAACGCCTTGCACGGTAACGGGATCTATGTAATATACGTTTGAACATAAAGGATGGAAAAATGAACTGGGAAACGCGAAGAAGCCAGGGAACGCGCTATGAATGAAGAACGAAGAATATCGATCACACACACACACACACAGAGTATACACATCCACACGTTACACCCTATACGTAATGGATACTATTGTATTATATGTAACGCTACAACACACGAAGTCAGTATTCAGATACGTATCACCAAATACAATTGCGAAAGAAAGTTGTACGCCGCCGCGCTACCGCACCCTTCGAACCCTTTTTTGCGGAAAATGGAGAAAATCCTCCGACAAGGCGTTTCCGAATTCGCAACGGAACCAACGATCATCGACTTTCTGAACGACTCGAAGGACCAAAAGTTTCCGTGTACCATTTTGACCGTGTGGAGATATTCGCCACGGTGAAGTAGCCCACGCGTCCTGATCCCCCTCTCGAGGCTTTGTACGCCTGTAGAGGATATCTTCTGGCTCGGGTATTAGTCGAAGAATTGTGAATCGTGGAGAATAGACGATGAACGACGTATCGGTAATCGATATCGCTGGGTAAGGAGGCCGCTAAGTGGGGGGGGGGGCGGTGCGAAACGAAATTTAGAGGTTAGGGAACACATGTGGAGGTGGCGGCAGCGAAAAAGGGGAGAGACGAGCGGGTGGCGCTGTGGCGCGAAAATAGTGCGACGCCTCTGTCTTGTTTTATATATAAATATGAGTGATAGGATTATATATATATATAAAAGGAGTAAAGAAAAAGCCTTTTTGTCGGGGGTGTATCCCAGCTTCGAACGATATTCGAGTATAAATATATAAATATATAAAGTATAAATATATATTAATATAATACCGACACGATGGACTGACGTCCTGTTCGCTGTTGGCCGGTCGGTGATCCGCGTGGTGGCCCGTCAGTGTTGTATTTGGTATCACTTGAAGAAGGAAAAAAAAAGATAATGAAAGAAACTACGTAGGTACCTCAAAGGTATACTTTATTATACCACTGGCTGTTGAACATAGAACTATTTATAGGTTTAATTATTGTACACAGGTGGAAACAAAAAAAAAAAAAGAGTAAGAGCCGGACGTCGAGGCGATATATGGATCGAGAAAGGAAAAATAATAGAGCACTATCACCGTATTCTCTTAATTTAACATCCTTTTTGACTATTACATTTATGAATAATATATTTGTGATTGTAAGAATCTGCAACCAAAATGTGACAAAGAATACTTGTTGTTGTTAATATGATTTGTTGCAATTACTATATTATTATAATATTAAGGATTATTATTATTAATATTATTATTTTATTATTATAATAATAATTATTATTATTATATCGATATTGATATTATTGAGAAACACTTGGAATATGCATATTTCTATTCAATAGTAAGAGTACCTTTATATACATATATATATACATATATATTTGCGTAAATGTATATGTATATATATGTATTAGGGATTTATATAGCGAATTATATATAACTAATTCACCGAATTATTTATATATAATCGCTATATAAATTTACGTATATTTATATATGTATACGTGTGAGGATAAAGAAACGATTAAAAAAAAAAAGAATTAATAAGATGGAGATCAATCTTCTATTTTGCATAGCTCGGTAATTCTCCTTTGGGTCTTAGAGATGCACATTAAATGAAACGAGATAAAAGGACGAAAAAAGAAGGAGGTGGCCAAGAAACGAGAGATGAGAGAGAGAGAGAGAGAGAGAGAGAGAGAGAGAGAGAGAGAGAGAGAGAGAGAGAGAAATTAAATTTACTTCTTAAACGAACATCTATGTTGTTACATTGATCAACTCGTGGACAAAAAACGTAATTATGTGAAGGGATGCAGAAACGAGACAAAAAAAAAAGAGGGAAAAAATAAAATATACGTCTAATCACGTTTATATGTATATACACACGCCGCGCGATACAAAATGGAATGGTGTGTATATATGTATATATACATGCATATGAAAGAAATCTCACGCAAGTGTCTTATTTTTTCAGAATGTTTACCGATTATTAAACGATAGAGAGAAAGAGAGAGAGAGAGAGAGAGAGAGCGAGCGAGAGAGAGCGAGAGAATTAAAAAAAAACGCGAATAAAAGTAAAAATAAAACGACGGGACGGAAGTTGGAAGAAATTGCCACGAGGTTATGTAGAATGAAAGAGAAAAAAAACGTTTACGAGAATGGAGACGCGGGTTTGTTGCTCCCTGACGAATTTCACGAAGTTAGTTTCGGCCCTCCGCGAAAACGCGTTCAAAACTCCCCCACCCCTCCTCCCTGGTCGCGCGTAGAGCGCCCGCTAGCGTTTTATAGTTATTTTAACCTGATTGTTCGCGCGGTCCCGTTTTTTATCCAGCCCAAAAAATTGCTCGTCTCGACGACGACGAAATTCTTTTACGAATTATAATTGTCCCTTCCCGGTGTTCTTTTTTTTTTTTTTTTTATTACTTTTCCTTTTTCTTGTGCTATTCTCGTTTCCTATTCCCGTCTATAAGCACGGAATCGTCGAAACGCTGGACAGAGAAGGTTCGTGGAGATCGTCGCCGACCGAGTCGTGGACGATCCTTCGATCTGTGGTGATCCTTTTCGTTAGATAAGTAGACCAAGGAAATTGTTTTTTTTTTTTTTATATAAAGTAACATCGAACAGTCTCGCGAGCGTCATAAGCCATTCAAATTGTTTTTTTTTTTTTCTAAATATACGCGCGGGACGTCGACGTTTCGTTAGGGATACACGTACACATAGAGGCACACACACAATTTTATTTTAGAGCGTTAAGAGTCGGGGTACCGGAAGTCACGTGTCACCGGAATAGCGATCGACGACGTGGAAACGGAAAGTTTCACGAGTGTTTAAAAAAAGAAAAGAAAAAAAAAGCAGAATAATACGGAGAACCACAAATTGACACGAGACGATATTTTTTTTTCTTTTTTTTGTTTCTTCATTTACTCCCCCGCGTATCGCAAACTTGGCCCGGCTAAAACGATATCTCTGTCGCACTTTCTTCCAATTCGAGCAATTACGAACGTGTTGCGTAATGAAACGAAATAAACGGAAAAAGAAGTCTATATATGTATATATATATATACGAATAAAGAAAAACCTGTAAAACACATTCGTGAGGTACTCTGAATATGTACACGTGCATACATAGGGACAAGTATACTCGTTTGTTGTGTCGCGCGACGCCGTTCACACACGGATATATACATGTACGTACGCACACGTGCACGCGAGCGCGCTTGCCTTCTCCACCCCCACCCCCTCATGTCTTGTTTTTCTCGTTGAAAAATCCCCTCACTCTCTACACCCCTTTTTTTCCACCCTACGTCGATCACACGCGCGCGCTTGTTCGCTCGCGTGTTCGTCCGTGTACGTACATGTATATGTATGCCCGCGCGTGGGTGTTGTGTGTGTGTGTGTGTGTGTATGTATGTGTGTGTGTGTATATGTGCTTACGCCTGTGCTCTGTGCGTGAGCGGACGAGAGTGTGCATGAATGGGTTTACGACGGTGTGCGTGCGGCTCCGCGTGTTTTTCTCTTTGTGCGTGCGTGCGCTCGTAGGCACGCTTGTACGCGTGTGTGCGTAGTGGATTACGTCATATAGATAGATCATATGTGCTTTCTAATGATGAATAATTTTATAAATATAAATATAATATCGAAACTCGTCTGTGTACCATTTATTGTTCCGGCTGTACTTCCGAAAGGCACCGTTGGCTCATCGATATGAAGTGTGACGGGTGTTACGAGGAGCGTGAAAGGATCCAAAATATAAAATTCGAGCTTTGGAAATTCACCTGTTCAGAAGATACGGCTTCTCATGTATAATTTTCTACGTTATTTGCTTGCTGATTATATACTTTGTGCGTTCAATTAACCCTTTAATCCTCCGAGTACTGTTACAATACAATACAAACACAAGGTGGCTCGAGCACGAGACCCTTACCGACACTGTAGAAGTTTTGTCGACTAGAAGGAAGGACAGCGAGTAAAAAAGGAAACAGAGTGAGCCGAAGACGTAAGTCAATACTTCTACGGCGTCTTAGCCCGACCCTTTTTATACAATGTCACACGTAGTCAGTTCCGAATTACAGGGACCACTCGATCACTGTTTGCGTTTCGTTCTCATGTGCCGCGTCACTCCGGCCCAGTCTACGGAGGGTTAAAGACGAATCAATTTTTAAAGATGACGCAAGTATTCCATTTCTTCCTGTTTGGCTAACGGTATGTGGCGCCACATACATTATGATAATCTATCAATGAATCAAAGTTTGAGATATTTTTCATAGCTATATTTAATGTACGAGTACATTCAAGTGGTTATACAGGGGTCCGTGTAATGGATCACCACACGGGGTCTCGGCGCCTCCACCCGGGGTTCTACGACCCCACGCTTCACCACACGGGGTCTGGCGCCTCCACCGGGGGTTTTATGACCCCACCATCTAACACCACGGGGTCCGTGGCGCCATCTCCGGGGGTTCTATGACCCCACATTGCATCGCACCTGTCACTGGCGCCACCCCCGGGGGTTCTATGACCCCACGCCTTGTCACACGGGGTACGTGGCACCATCTCCAGGGGGTTCTATGACCCCACGTTCTCACCACACGGTGTCTCTGGCGTCTACTCTGGGGGTTCTATGACCCCACTTATACACACAGCCATACGCACACACACGGGGTCTCTTGTGAATGTTCCAGGGGTTCTATGACTATAATTAATTACGTATTCACTCTGTAAATCATCATTACATATTCTTCACATCGTAATTACGATAAAAATATACAATTTACAAATAGTATTTCTATACATTTAACAACAATCGCCATAAATACTACTTACATACATGTTTTTACAATACAGTAAAACCTGTTTTTATGCGGTAGATAGGGACCGCATAAAAGAAACCGCACAAAAAAATATTCGGAAATTTCATAAATACTACATATAATAAACAACTTTGTACGACATACTACAGAAATTTTTTTTTATGCGGCGGAGAGGGACCGCATAAAAAAAGTCGCACTTAGAAAATACGTCAATTATTTACGAAATACATGAGAAAGTGCTTCCAAACAAAATAAATAATTAAATTACACATTATAAAAGCATTTAATTTTTCATTGTAGAAATGAGAAGTTTTCAAAATGCACATTACATAATTCACTGCTAGTCGTCGTAATCCTTAACGCGCATCTTCTTGTGATGAATTGGTTCACCATCTGCTAGTCTATTTAATATTAGATTTTTTGTTTCTAATGGAATTGTCTTTCTTTTCACTTTTTTTTGGCTACAATTATTCATTTTAAGGGAGTACATATGTTTAAAAATAAAATGAAAATCATAAAAACTATATACAAATAGAAACAAAAGTAATTAATTTATTTACCTTTAATCTCACTATAAAATGAATCCTTAATCACGTGAGTCGTGGATAAAACTCGGAATACAAAGCGTATGCTGCTAGCGCGTCGAGCGAAAATAATTGAATGTACATTGTCGAGAAACTGTTTAAACCAACTGAACAGAGCGTCTTGAAGTGTATATTTATATGTACACTGATAGAAAACATTACAGTAATGCCAACGCCGTTGAAATTCATATACAGCATAAAAAAAAATCGCACAAAAAAAATCGCACAAAAATAAAATCGCACAAAACAAATCGCATAAAAATAAAATCGTATAAAAAAGGACCGCACAAAAACAGGTTTTACTGTATAGTTATAATAATATTTGTATAGATTCAATAAAAGTGCCCTTAGATACTTATTTTACTTAAATCCTACTTATCTATACGATTTTACAATATACTT